TACATCTCCTTATCACTAAGCTACCAGAGTATCCTAAAAATTGGGTAGAAGAGAAGAAAGGAAGGCAGGAGACATTCTAACAAGGGTACTTTTAATCTGCATCTGAAGTTCTTAGGACAGAAGCCCCTGCTCACCACTGCAAGGCCTTCCAGGTCTGTTACCCTTCCTCTGGCAGTACCTGCCTCAGCTCTCTCTTGAAGCACAGGCTCCATAGAGTGGATTTAAGGTCCACAGTCATAAGGCTCTGCCATAAGCACCTTAGGCCACCAGTCCCAAAGAGCAGTGAGAGAGGTCGAGCCTAACAGGGACGAAAGCTTTAAGAAGCAGTGAGAGTAAACCAAAAGGTGGAGGGAGGGGCTGATTGTTTTCAAAACCTTCAGGACCTGGCTTGTTCAACTCTCAGCCAGGCATTGGTGGGGGGTGGGGGGGTGAGCTCATGGTTGGAACAGTTGGGAGCATTCTCTAGGGCAGCTCCTCCGGTGACGTGATAGGGTCCTCAGACACCATCTCTCCAGCTCAGCCCTTCTCTATTCCAGCCCCATGTCCTCCCACACACCACCGCCACCACCATCATCATCCCTCAGGGAAAAGTGTAAATTATTTCACAGCCCATCCAAGTCATAGTTTATAATGTTCAGAGGCAGGTTCACACCTATTGTCTTCTCTGATTACCTCACATATTTGTGAGGTAATAAGGATCACATTAATTTTTAAATAGAAAAGGAGACCAAGGCTCAGAGAAACAGTCTGGTTTTAGCAATTTTTAATCACAGGGTTAGTGCCTGCCCAAAGGGGAGAGGAGAGTCCACAGGCTGGCTGACTGCTGTGCGGAGAGCAGAGTGACCCAGGGCTGTAAGTCCTTAAATGTCACAACAGTTTTGCATTCACCCAAGTTCACATATAAGACTGGAGAGTAAAGAAGAAAAAAAAAGAAAACGTGCTCAAGCTTGCGGTGACAGAAATGATCCTGTTGAGCTCCACGTCACGGGCTGCCAGTGCCCTAACTGCCCTGGAGAACAGTGAAAAGGCCCTGCTGCCCAGACAGGCTTCACTTCTGCTTTTCTCTAGGACCAGTCTTGACCTTCCAGAGCAAACTTAGGGCCAAAGATGACCCTGAAGAGTGAGGTGCAGGGCAAGTGTGCGAGGTTTAGGAACTCCGTACCCTGCAGGAAAGTGAAGTCTCAGGTCTGAAAAAATTGGGATAAAAGGGAAGGAGGGAGATCAGGCCGACTTTGCGAGCAATGCCTTCTGCTTACTTTTGAGATACATCCTAAGGCTCCTTTCGATCCAGGGCCACAAGGAAGCTGTTGAAGACCAGAGCAGACGCCCAAGCAGAGGGGAAGCTCCTGTACCTGCCAGGGAAGTGGGTCAGGTGCAGGGCGGGGCTGAAAGCCAGGGAGGGTATTAAATGCGCTTCCAGCTCATTTGCATGTCCTAATTAACCATAAAATGCGCCCCTGGGGCAGAATTAAGCTGTCACTTTCTCTCTGATTAACTTCCTCTATCTACCCATCTCCCCATACACTGCCCACTCCTGTCTGTACCCTTCAGACATCACTTAGGCATCAAGCTTTCCGCATTCACTTCTTCCTCAGCTTCAGTAAAATAAATAGCCTTCATCAAAGTCACACAGAAGCCCAGAAGGGGAGGAAAAAGTAAAAATTATGGGGAATAAATGAACTGGTCATAATCATTCTTCAACAGAACATGACATAGCAGATGGCATGTTACATCAGCCCTGTCACAATCCCAAAATAAAAAATCCTGTCAAAATGGACAGCCAGTATTCCATAATGTGGGGAAGGGAAAACTTGTGGTTATTTCTTTTGAGTTGGCTTGAGCAGATAAAGACAATTTGTGTAATAGTGCACATGCGAAAGACTGGATTTCAACTCTAGCTTTTCCAATCCCAGCCACTGTGTGACTTTGAAGAAGTTGCTTAACTTCTGTGATCCTTCTCATGTAAAATGAGCCTTAGTAACCACTTCTAGGGCAAAAGCTGAGAAGGAAGTTAAGTGCACAGTGGAGAAGGGGGAGTCTAAGCCAAAACCAAACCAAATCTACTGTTATCAAGTGGATTCCAACTCATAGTGATCCTCTAAGTAAAAACCAAAACGAAACAGCACCAAAACCCCAATTAAATTCGCTACTGTGGAGTCAGTTCCAACTTAACTCTCCATGGGGTTAAGGCTATACAGCTTTACCGAAGTGAACTTATTTCTTTAGTGGAGTGGTTAATGGGTTCAAAGCACTGGCCTATAACCACTTGCCACTAGACCTAGCACCTGTAAATTATGTTTGGCAGCAAACGTAACTTCGTGATTGTTCTGTCCTGGCCCAAGTTAAAAATGAGTTTTCATTGCCCCGAATCCTTTGCCCTAGCCTGCTAGTCTTTCCCGCCACTCCTCCTAGGGGTCAGGAGTTGAATCTTTGTCATCACTCAGTCCTTAGTTCCTAGCGCCAAGCTGGCACCAAGTGAGTGGTGTTCTTAAAAGTCTCTTTGATCTGAACAGCTCTGTCCGCAAAGCAGATGAGTTGCAGATGAATGGCCACGGGCTGACTTGGTTTTCTGTAGAAATTATTCCAGATTTGGAGCTGGCACCACTTCGAATAATTCGCTGGTTGGCCCAGGACTCCTTTTGCTCACGAATCAGTACATCATTAGATGGAATCTTCACACGCACACACTCCCTCGGCACCACCACCACCAAAGGCCACAGAACGTCTTCATCCAGAGGGAAACGTCAGGTTTCTGTGGAGACAAAGTCTGGGCACAAAAGGCTGTCCCTCCATCCAGATAAGCCTGGTTACTTGGCAATCCCAAGGGAGAGGAAAGGACCAGAGTCTGAAAGTCAGACAACCCTCTGTTCCCAGTTCGTGGGACAGTTCCTAAGTCATTCACAGGATCCCTTTGGAGGCTTCATTTATCTTGAAAAAAGATAGCACTTTCTAGAGTCATTTTCTGAAGATTAAGAAGATATTGTGCAAGTGGGCGCTCAAAAAAAAAAAATTTACATCCTCTTCCCCAACCAGAAAAAGTATCCCTTAATGTGTCCTTGCCAGGGAATCTGAAGGGGACCCTAACCCCGGCTTCAGCGCTCCCCACTCGCAATTAGAGCTGCTCATTCTAAGCCCTTTCCTCCATTTCTGCCCCTGGGGGGTCGAGGATATAGGAAGAAGAGCTTTCCTTGTTCTTACTTTTCTTCTCCAATTTGCTGTTAATGCTCTGAGGCCATGAAGGCGTCTTGCCTCTAATTGCAGCTGTCACACCCCATCAGGCTGAGGGGAGATCAGCCAGGAGGGAGGAGAGGCAGCGAGGGGGCGTGCCCTACACGACTGGCTCGGCCCAAACAGGGACCCACATTGTCTTTTCCCAGCCAGTGGGAGTTCCCAGCCTGGGGTGGGAAGCGTCCAGGAGGGCGGATGCTCTTTCCCTAGGCCACGTGCCCAGAACGGCTTTAGAAGAGCTTTAGTTGCCTCGCCTTCACTGGGAGCTGAGCTTGCTGGCCAGGCCTGCCCTCTTGGCCTTGGCTGATTCTGGGAGAGGGAATATCTGTGTCCAGATTAGGAAGGGGCCTGGGTAACGGAGCTAACTTCAACCTACTGCCCTCCAAGTTACTTCTGACTCCAGCAGAGACTGTAAATCAGACTCCCATCGGGTCTCCCACGGAATAGCTGGTGGATTTGAACTTCCAACCTTTCAGTTAGCATAACTTAGTCTACTATGTCACCAGGGCTCCTGGCTATGGTGCTAGGAGTTTAAAAAATGAGTAAGGATTTCTGTGGGCTCTCACTTGTCCCATTCAAAGAAGTCTGTGGGTGGTGCAAATGGTTAAGCCTTAGACTGCTAAGCAAAAGGTTGGTGGTTCAAATCTGCCCAGAGTCACTTCAGAGGAAAGACCTGGCCATCTAGTTCCAGAAGATCCATGGAAATCCCCAGCAGGGGCTCACTCGGACCCTGCCAGGCTTGTGAGCTGGGTGGGAATCCTGGGTGCTGGAGCCGAGCTATCTGAGGTTGGCGAGCAGTGGTTCTGAACACTGCTGGAAGGCATGTGAGGAACTCCAGGGTCCGACGTCTGCTCTTAAGTCAGATCTGGACAGTCTACCTCCTTTCCTGCCAGTGGCGTGCTAACAAGGGTAACACCTGCATTACTGCCTGCTTCCAAGGGAGATAATGGGTAAATAAAAGGGCTTTCAAAAGGGTGACATGTTCAATAAGGGTTCCCATTCTCTCCCGTGCTTTCGGGAAGACTATAAGGAGCAAATGGACCTTGCCTGGTCCCTGAGGGGCAGCCTGTGCTCTGTTGGAAACCAACAATTGGCACCAAAGAAGAAAGGTCTGGTGATCACCTCTATAAAGACTGTAGCAAAGAAAACCCCTAGGGGCCCTGTAATACATGAATGAGGGTTCTATGAGTGGATCAACCTGATCCAGAGGCTCGATGTTTTCTCCTTTGGGTCCAGACATGGACTGAGATCTTCAAGGCAGCAGGAAAAGATCAGAGGAAGGGATCTGCCTCAACCTCTCACTCCCAGGAGGGCTGAGTGGCACTTCCTCACATTGCCAGAGATATAAACATTATAAACCTGGGACACCAAAGTCAAGGTGTTTATTGAGAGCATCTATGGGGAACCTGCGGTCCCCAGTGCCCTTTCCACATAGAATTTACAACTGAAGTACTTGAGGCAATGGAGGAATGCCAAGGGCATCCCCTGGTCTCCTCTCCTTGCTCTTCCCTGCTGTCACCTGTAACTCCCAAAGGAGCACACACACACAGACACAGACCTCCAGCCAGCCCCTGGGAGGGACAGCCTCCCCCAAACACAGGCTGCCAGCCGGGCTTGGAGACCTGAGGCCTACTTCTTCCCATCTCTGCTTTCTTAGGGAAAAGAACTGGAGTTGGGCTTTTGGAAGCCATTGCATCCTCCTGCCCTCCTCTCCATGGCATGGCATCTCCACCTGGTCCTTCCTGCGCCAGTCCATGGTATGTCTCTGAGATTCAGACCCAAACTGCTGTGTTAATATCAAAGCCAGCAGGTGGGGGCTCCAGGGCCTTGGGGCAGCTTGTGGAGGGATTTTGCCCTCCTCTGGGCTCCCTGACACCCGGGAGGGAAAAGTGTCCCGAGCCCTTGGAACGGCTCCGCTTCTTGACCTTTTGGGAGCGTCCAGCTCGGGGCTCAGGGGTCATGGGTGTCACCCAGCCAGGCTTCTCCTTCAGCAGCCGGTCCCGGTCTGGCCGTACGCTACGCAAGAATTTCCTAAAAATGTTTGCAGTCAGGGAAAACCTTCTGCCCAGCTCACGGAGCTGGCCCCCACCTCCTTTGTGCTCCTCGGCCTCCCCAGTCTCCTCCTTTTCCCCACCCTTGTCCAGTTCTGGCAAGTCCAGCCAGTTGCCCACCAGGTCCGCAAAGACATTGTCCCCTAACACCAGAGGCTGTCGATTCCGGCCCCGGGACATCAGCGTGGAGGTCCAGTCATCGGGTTCCACACACTCTGGGCCCTGCTGGGTACAGCTGTGGTGCTCAGGTGGCCGTGTCCTGGGCAGGGGGCCTGGCTCCCTCCCACGAACATTTCTGTGGGGTGGGAACTTGGTGCTGCTGTCAAGAGGTTGTTTGCAGGGGGAGCTGGCCAAAGGCCTGACAGGTCCCCTGTCAGCCTCCCATCGAGGAGGCTCGGGCTGTGTCCAGGGACTGTCAGGGCAGCTGGGGTCAGCATTCCCTCCAGAGATCTCCAGCTGTTCCAATGCCGTCTGGACCTGGAGGAGTTTCAATTCCTGCAGCGCCCCCATCATGCTGTTCATCTGGTCCTGCAAGCCATCACCCACTTCCTTCATGGACATCTGCAGAGACAAGAGAATGCACAGGGCCAGTGAGTCACAGGGCAGGGTTAGGACTACATCTTGCTGGCCCTGAATCTCTATCTGCCCCCAATGCACATCTCCACATCCATTCCAGCTTGCCAGTGGCTTGTATCTGTACTGTCTGATACAGTCAGACAAATGCTGGGTGAGGGGGAATTTTAACAATGATACAGTTGGACAAAGTGGTGTTGCTGAGGAATATAGACTGCCAAAAGAGTGAATATATCTGTGTGGAGGAAGTACAGCCAGAATATTTCTTAAAATCCATTGCTAGGGAAAAATCCATCATGTTTAGTAAAGCAGAGGGCCAGTGAAAGGAGGGAAACCTTCAACAAGAGATTGACACAAAAGCCAACATGATGGACTCAAAACATAATGAAGATCGTAGAGATGGCCTAGGACTTAGTACAGGCCGGGCTTTTTCCTGTCAGACATAAAGTGCTAGAAATTGGCGCCAACATAACAACTATTAATAGTACATCTCTATTCATTTATTTAGGGAGCTCTGGTGGCTTAGTGGTAAGGAGTTGCACTGGCAACCCAAAGTTTCTCAGTTTGAATCTACCAGCTATTCTGTGAGAGAATGACAGGCCATCTCTTCCCCTGCGATTTCCTCCTCTGAAAACTCACAGGACAGTCAGCTATGGGCTACCTCTAAGTTGAACTGACAATAGCAACTGGTAGCGTAGCCCCTATTTAAACTTCACAACTATCCTATGAGGCAATGGCTATTAGTGTCTTCATTTTAAAGAGATGCAGGAGGAAATTGAGGCACGTAAGTAATTTGCCCATGGCTAGACAGTGAAAGGTGGATCAGCTTGAGAGTGTTCAAAGCTTTAGTGGCCAAGCTTGTCCCTCTCTGTGTCTGAGCCACCTGTCTCCTACGAGCCTCCCTGAGATTTTGACAGCAATAACAACTTGTGAGGACTGATTATGTAAAGAAAGTGTGCTGAGCATGCAACACCCATCATCTCATTTCATCTTCATGTCAACCACAAGAAGCTGCTTTATTCGCATTGTGACATATGAGTGAACTACGACAGAGGTGAAAGAACTCATAGAGCTGGGAGTTAAATATGTGACTAGCTCACTCCAAATGCTACAGTCTACAAGACCAAGTACTACCTGCACATGGCTGGTTAGTGAAGCTGGGCTTTAAGGCGACTCTGTCCTCTACAATAGACACAGGGTGAAAAGGCCACAGGGGAGGAGGAGGAGCTCAGATTCCCCAAGAGAAACCCCTATGCCTGGGGTTTCCTTTAGGTGCTGTTAGCATCTGGCTGGTCAGGAGACGAGGAGGTGAGAAGCCTCCTATTTGCTAGGAGCCCCTGCCCAGCTCTTCCCAGGCCTGCCTCTGCCTCCCAAGCACCTGTTCTCTCTCAGCTGCTCTCAGACTTGGCTCCAACCCTCTTTCTGCCTTCTTAGCCCAGTTGGCTCCACTGCCTTGGCCAAGCCAGAGTAGGAAATTTGGGGCCAGTTCTCCTCACTCCTTTGTGGGTGTCTAAGGCCTAAGTCTCAGGTGCCAGCTGGAAGGGGCTGAGGGAATGACTTGGGTGAGGGCCCAGTTTGGAGAGGGGGGAAGGGAGGCTATGTCTGATAACATTCAGGAGGTCCCAGTCCCTGGCCTCAGGCTGCCTTGGTCCTCGCCAGCTCCCTCCCCAGGTCCTGCTCAAGTTACCGACAGCAAACCTTATGTGCGGGGACCATCTGTTGCTTAAGCCCCCTAGAGACCCGTGGGATCATCTTACCTCACAGGCTTGTCTTAATGCACAGATCTAAGCCTGGAGGGTGGAGGGTGGGGGACTGGAAGGGCAGGCGGGGGAGGCTCTGCAGGTCTGGACCAACAGCTGACCCTCTCAAGCTTGTGTCAGAACCCTCCTTTCACCCTGGCTGGAGATGGGAGGGCTCTGAGCAAGCTCCCTTGAGACAGCAGAGGGGACTAACTGTCCCTAAGGTTGCCCCCACTTTGTGCACTTTCCCCTGCCAGATGGGTGAAGGCCCTGGCAGCCCTGGGATTTGCCAGACGGTTTGGAAAGAGTATTCATCTGATGGCAGCAGCAGCGATGGGCACAGAGCTGGTGGGGCAGCAGAGCTTGCTGAAGTCCCCTTCTTGGGCCTCTTTGCCACCCCCTCACTGACTCCTTCCTTCTCCAGGCCTGCACAGCTTAGCTGCAGCTGGTAAGACTCAGAGCAGTCAGAATGAGCTCTCAGCCTCAAATCAACCCATCACCTCCTTCCAGCACTCTTTCCCCCTCGTCTTCTCATTTCTGCCCCTTTTCACTTTGTTACCGCAAACTCACCATAAGCTCAGACACATTCCACTCAATCACTCAAGTTCATGCTCTCACTCCTTCTCTCCTCAGGCCTGGCAGGAGAGGATCTGGCCTACGAGCCTGAGAAGGCCAGCTGCCAGTGCTGCCCTGTAGAGCCTCACCTGTCTGTCCTTCCTGTCCCCTGTCCGTCCACTTCCCAGGTGTAGCTCTTAATCATTTGCTGTGTTGGAATCTTCCTTCTCCAACCATCTCAGTCTTCTCCCATCCCCTAGAATGAGGCAGAGCCCTCTTCAAAGCCTACCAGGCCCGTGAGTGCCTGCCCTATCTTACACACTCCTACACCCCTCCCACCATTTCCAGTGGCCCTCCACTGTCCCAAGAATGAAATATAAACTCCTTGGTCTGGTAGCCAGGATCTGCCATGACACACGCTCACTTTCACCTGTGGGCAAATCCAGATCCCCTGACACATGCCCCATTCTCCTGTGAGCACCTCTTCTGTGATGCAAGACATGCTCTTTGCTGTGGTCCTATGGTCACCCTACTCTGGATGCATGCACCACTTAGTACTCCTCCAACAGTCACTGTGCATCAGCTGCTTGAGGACAGGCAACAAGACCTGCACCTCATGATGTCATCTTAGAGTCTAGCTCGCACCCTGCACTTCCTATTGTTGTTGTGAGTCAACTCTGACTCATAGCAACCCTATAACTCTGATTCTTGCCCTATCATGTGCCATCCTCATGGTCTTTCCCTGCCCGAGTCCACTGTTATAGCTACTGTGTTAATAGCTACTGTGTTAATCCATCTTGTTGAGGGTTATATACTCTTGCACTTACTACACATTCACAAAACGTATACCAAGTATCACTGAATAACCCATATCACCCCTGCAGAGTGCTAGTGACCCTCAGACAGTAACTCACTACTGAGAGCCAGGGCAGTGGCCCAAGGTTTCATTTCACCAAGAAGCAAGAAGTCTGAGCTGGCAGGCTTCCTTCCCGAAGGCTGAGCACAGTCCAGGTCAGAGGCTGTGGGAGGAATGAAATGACTCCATTCAATTGCTTCCAGTGTGGAAAAATCCATAAGGAATAACGCTGACATTTTCCAGGGAGAAAGAATGTGTGGGTATGTATGAATATGGGGCTGTCTGTAAAACAGAGACCCTATTTAAATAAACAAGGGCTGAAATTGCACCCACATGGAAAAGAATATTCGGTACTGGGGAAGACCTTGGGTCCTGAAGGAAAAAACAGAACAGGGTTCAAGTCTCAGCTCTGCCACTTAATACTGTGTGATCTGCAACAGACAAAAGACAAACTCTGTCATCACGTTAATTCTAACTCATGGGGACCCTCCATCATGTTTCTGAGGCTCTAAGTCTTAGTGGGAGCAGCCTGCCTGACATTTCTCAGTTTCTTATTTTTTCCATTCTTTTAAAATGAAAGTTCCTGCCTTATAAAAAAACTACAAGGGAGATATGATGGCCCAGTTGGTAGAGAGTTGTGCTATCAACCCTAAAGCTGATGGTTCAAATTCACCAACTTCCTTGAGGGAAAGACTGGCAATCTCTTCCTGTGCAATTTACAGCCTCTGAAAAGCTGCTGGATCAGCTATGAATCAATTCCCACTCAACAGCAATAATTTCAAGGTTCTTTGGGGGTTTTAAAAAAATTTATAAAGTTACTATGCAAATTAACTAAAAATCTCAAACTCATTGCTGTCAAGTTGCAACTGACTCATAGCTGACCCTTCAGTGGTTTTTCAGAGGCTGTAAATCACACAGGAAGAGACTGTCCATCCTTCTCCAGAGGAGCAACAGGTGGATTAAAATCACCAGAGAGGAGTGACCTTGGGTTTGCACTAAAACTCCCTATAAATTATGCCACCAAAGCTCACTATACTGATTAAATGAGATAATATGTGCATCTTTATGACACAAAGAAAAGACTAAATAAACGATGGCTTTTACTTTAACTTAGGAGTCCTGGTAGTACAGCAGGTTTAGTGGTAGATTGCAAAGGAAGAGATTGGCAGTAGAAAAATGAGGCAGGCTCTTGCTAAGATTTACAGACTCAGAAACCTGGTAAGAGGGTCAACTTGTGGGCTGTAGGTTTGATATTATTATAACACATGACCTCCTATGACATATTTATTGAATTGGTAAAGCTGCTGCCAAGAACCTCTTTGATGTGTTAAAGAGCAGGGATGCCATTTTAAAGAATAAGGTGCACCTGACCCAAATCATGGTATTTTCAATTGTATCATACACATGTGAAAGTTGGACAAAGCTCATCGAGAAGCTGATGTTTTTGAATTGCAGTGCTGGTGAGGAATATGGAACAAGAATAAACAGATATCTTAGAAGAAGTGCAGCCTGAGGTCTCCTGAGAAACAAGGATGGTTAGACTTTGTCTCACATACTTTATCAAAAGGGGCCAGTCCCTGGACAAAACCATCATGCTTAGAAAAGCAGAGGTCAGTGAAGGCGCTGAAGGCCCCCGGTGATCTGGAATGACACAGTGACTTTAACAATGAGCCTGAGTATGGCAGGCTGTGAGGACACACAGGATCAGGGCGGGTCCTGTGCTGTTGTACAAGGGTCACTACAAATCGGAACCAACTCGATGGCACTTAACAAAAAACAACATGCATTTGCTCTCAACTGCTAACCAAACGGTGGTGGTGGTTGTTGTTATGTGACATCGAGTCTCTTGTGACTCATAGTGACCCTATGTACAAGAGCCCTACACGCCATTCTATCCTGTGCCAACCTCGCTGTCTCAAAACACACTCATTCCCACCACTCCAGTCACAGAATCAATCCATCTCATCAAGGGTCTTCCTCTCCTACCCCGTCCCTCTACTCTCCCAAACATGAGGTTCCTCTCCAAGGACCAGTCCCTCCTTGCAACATGCCCTAAGTATGTCAGATGAAGCTTCAGAATCCTTGACTCCAAGGAGCATTCTAGCTTCACCTTCTCCAGGACAAACCTGTTTGTTCTCCTAGCAGTCCATGGTATATTCAACGCTCTTCTCCAGCACCATAGCTCAAAGGCATCACTTCTCTTTCTATCATCCCTATTCACTGTCCAACTCTCTGATGCATAGCACGTAATTGTGAAGATGATAGCCCAGATCAGGCACACCTTAGTCTCCAGACTAATGTCGTTGCTCTTCAGTACTCTTGAGTGGTCCCTCACAGCTGACTTTTCCAATGCAATTAATCTCTTGATTTCCTGGCTGCTGTTACCAAGAGTGTTGACTGTGGAACCAAGTAAACAAAAACTGTTATCTATCTCAATCTCTTCACCATCCATACTGATGCTGCCAATTGGCCCAGTGGTGAGAACCTTTGTTTTCTTGATGTTGAGCTTCAATCCAAAAATGAGGCTACAGTCCTTGACCTTCTGTATCAAGCGCAGAAACTAACCAAAAGGTTAGTTATATTAATTTATCCAACAGAGCTGCAGAAGGCAGGCCTGGAAATCTGCTTCCATAAAGATCCCAGTTCAGAAAAACTCTACAGAGCAGCTCTACTCTATAGAGCATGGGGCCACAGTGAGTTGGAATCAACTCAATAGCAATAGTTTTGGGGAGATTTTTGGTTTTTTAAATGCACTTTTAGCACATTTCTTCCTCAATGAAATTTGACACATAGCAATGACAGGATCCCTTTCCTCATATCTGGTCTCATAAAGAAGAAATGTATCCCCTGTTCTGTCCCCCTTTCTCCAATGCCCACCCCACAGGGAGAAAGAGGAGGAAGAGATGGAAGTCCCAGCATCCTCCTGTCCACACTCCTGCCACATTCAGTCAGTCCAGCAGAGTGCTGACCCCTAAGAGAGAGAAGGCCACTGAGAGGGGTGAGAACAGAAGGAAGTCTGGGCTGTGGGAAACCAGAAGGTCTATGGGGAGTGGGGAGCATCATCTGGATCTTGCCTGAGAGGGGAACCAGCAGGACAGTCTTTCCCAAACCCCAAGGGGAATGATGTCACTTGAGGAGAAAGCCAGAGGTTAAGCTGCTCTCTTATCCAGAGCGTGGGACCTTCTCCAATCCCAGGCCTGTTGTCGCCTCACAGACCAGAGAAAGAAGGAGGGCAGTAATGTATAGAGAGCAACAGAGAGGGGTCCCTTCGAGAAAATTCTCAGCTAAAAATGAAAACCCCCAAATCCCAGGCGACAGAATGTGGAGTTCACCCAGGTACCCCTTGAAGAAGTCCTAAGAGGGGTGGGACTGGTAATACTGGCTCTCTCTTCATTCATCCTCTCTCTCACTTGTACACACAGACACAGAGCTCACTTGCTCCACCATAAAAAATAATGTCCTTCATAAAGCATAGCCCATAAAGGCCATGGGAATCTCATCTGGAGGTCATGAAAAGTCTTCTTACAATCTACTCCGTTTCCCTATCACCCAGTTCATTTCTCACCCTCAGCGACTCCTGGGTCTGGCAGTATTTCAGTCTA